GCCCCATGGTGTGCAGGACCCAGGAATCTAGGTTCCAGCAGAATGAGACGTGTGGGAAGCACAATTATACTACAGGTGTGCTGGACTCGACTCCCTTCGGGGACAAAGGCTTCGAAGGCAGGATTATAAAGCTGTTCCAGAGGAGAATCTGCCCTGCTTCCTGTTGGGGTGGCTGGTGGGGTACGCAGGCCGGCTAAACTTCCAGAGCAGGTGGTCTCAGAGTCCCGCAGATGAAGGCGATGTGCACCAGCCAAGCAATGTGCCCGTCAGCAGAATTCTTTTCTTCCTTTTATTGCCTTCAAGGCATATGCTGACTTGGACAAAATTGCTTTGGCAAGATGTGACTGATGAAGTATGAAATGGAAGCTCCTTGCCCAGTGGTGGGTGAGGGGTGCGGACCCCCGGCTGGCTGACCAGCAGACACAATAAGCCCCTCAGATTGCCAAGCCATCTTTCATCATGGCCCAAGCGCCCCAGGTGTGCAGCAGACTGGCAGATCAAATTACAGCCAGAGCCCAGGTTGGGTGCGCTGCACTGGGGAACCTGGCTGCAGTGTGGGAGGGGGCTGGCTGCTGAGAAACAAGAGAGGCCCCTGGGAAGCTCTTGGGCCCTGGATGGCAGGGGGGCTGGGGGCAGGGAGGAGGATGGAATGCAGGGATTATTCTTTCTTCTGGAGCACAATGCTCCTGCTCCCTCGGGCTCTCTGTCTCCCATAGGGTAAACTCACTTTTCTCTGCTTGGCCCAAGAGCAGTCCATTGTGGAAAGTTTTGTTGTTGTTTTTAAGCTTAGGGGGCTTCTATATTACTATCCTCTCCTTTCCCTTCCACACTGAGACTGGCATGTATCAAATGCTTTCTCTGGTCCTATGTACTGTTCAAATCTCTTTTCGTCAATTAACTTCTGGATCCTTATAGCAAACTGAGGAGACAGGCAGGCTCTATCAGGATCCCCATTTTATAGATGGGGAAACTGAGGCTCAGAGAGGTTATGTTCCTTGCCCAGTGTGTGAACTACCCCGGCAAGACTCTAAGCAGTCTTGAAAGCTTGGTGGTGGCTTTAGCTTACGAGTCCACATCATATGCACTGTCGACTGGCTATTTCTGTTAACTTATTTGTCAATTAATTCACTCACATACTCAGCAAGCCTTAACTGAGGTGTTCTTGGGGATGCCTTTGGAGGAGGAATAATAGAAAATAAAGAACTCCCCCTTCTCCTTCAGGGATCACAGGAAAGATAAGGTTAAATAAGGGGCTTGTAGTTCAGAGAGAACCTTATCTCTTGTCAGGTCTGGATTTGGAGAGCTCTGTTGTCTCTTCATCTTGCAGGAGAAAGATGGCGCCCAGAGGAGAGAAGCTGGGGCAATGAGCCCTGGGTCAGCGGGCTCTCTATGAGATGATTGTGTTTATTCATGTTTATTCAACAGATACTTATTGAGCACCTGCTGTATGCTAGACTGGGGCTCAGCAGAGAGGCACAGAGGGTCAACTAATGCTGGCTTCGAGGACTGTCCTTGAGGAGACTCCCAAATTCATTGCCATCAAGTCAATTCTGACTCACAGGCACCTCTTTATAGGGCTTCTAAGGCTGTAAAGCTTTATGGGAGCAGACAGCCTCATCTTGCTCCCCACAGCAGCTAGTGGGCTTGAACCTCCAACCTTGTGATTATCAGCTCAACACCTAACCCACAGAGCCACCAGGACTCTATTTTGAAGATGAGTTGTTGTTAAGTGCAGTCGAGTTGGTTCCAACCCATAGCAACCTTGTATAGGGTTTCCAAGGAGCTTGAACCACCGACCATGCAGTTCAAACTGACTTTGCAGTCCAGGGCATTAACCCACAACACCACACCAGGAGATGAGTGGACAATGACAATTCAGTGGGACTGACAGTTCTCAGGGGCTTTCAGATATAAATGAAAGGATCAGCCCCCCTTCCCCCCAACAGCCTCACTGATATGTGAAGATCTCCACCTCCCTCCAAAAACAGAGAGAGATTCAAAAGAGGAGCAAGAAGCAGAAACTGTTTCAGGACTGCAGTATATTGATCTTGGAAGAAAGACCGAAGTCATCTCCGCTGGCATTGGAAGGAGCAAAAGGTTTGCTGAAACTTTGCAACACTAGGGATCAGGTGAGGACCGAAGAGACCAGAAGAGCACGGCTTCTGTTCTCCACTCCACAGGCCCTTTGTTTGAAACACCTGTCCCTGTCTCAACTCAATGACATCTGGGTCATTTCGTTCTTTCTTCTGCTGGTTCTCCTCCAACTCCCTCTATAAGGCCAGGCTGCCACTCCTCCTACCCATACCTTATTGAGGCCACCTCATGAACCCACTCACAGCTGTGTGTCCTGGTTCAGTACTGTGCCTTGCACCAGTATAACCACATGGTTTGAGGAGTCCAGTACAAAATGAAAACGCAGTCCCCTTGTTCATATATGATCAAGAATGTCGTAGGAGAGCATTAACTAAGCATGAAACCCTTCTGAGTGCAGAACCTGTGGAACCTGGCACCTGCTGAGGGAGTGAGTGGATACTAGTCAGTGGACAGAGGCCCAGCTAGGAAAAGGATTCAGGACTTGGCCTCTGAGTCCACTGTTGCAACTACTGTGTTAATCCATTTCATTGAGAGTCTTCCTCTTTTTCGATGACCTTCTATTTTTTCAAACGAAGGACTGATCCCTCCTGATATTATGCCCAAAGTACACAAGGCTGTACTTCTTCCAAGACATATTTATTCGTTCTTCTGGCTGTCCATGATACTTTCAATATTCTTCTTCAACACCATGATTTAAATGCAGTGATTCTTACATGGTAGTTGTTCTTTTTCATTCGTTGTCTAACTTTCATAAATATATAAAGCCAATGAAAAAAATGATGGCTCGGTTCAGACACACACCATAGCCCTCAAAGTGACATTTTTGCTTTTTAACACTTTTAAAAGGTTTTCTGCAGCACATTTTCCCAATGCAAAATTATCTGATTTCTTGACTACCGCTTCCAGAGGTATTGATGGTGGATCCCAATAAAATGAAATATCAAGCAGGATATACTTCTCTGGGGATTGATCCCTCCTGATAACATGTCCAAAGTAAGTAAGATGGGATCTCCCTATCCTTCTAAGGAGTCTTCAAGTATAACTATGATCAAATCAATGAATATGTGTGGCTATATTTGGTTCCTCTTCCTTCCTGAGGCCTGGGGTGGGGGCACCCAGGTAGCCCCTTACTTGTTTACACTTATTTTAAGTTTGATCTGACTGTTTTAGAAAGACAAAGAACACCTTAATTGCTCAGCCGATTTTCAAAAAACCAGAGACCAAAAGTCAAACTAAGTTCTTTGTCTCATAGAACTGCAGGTTTACAAAGCTCCTCTTTGGCTGGGCCTCTCTCCACCCATGAGGTCTCTTAGGCTGATATCTTGTCCCAAAGACCCAGGGGGCCATGTGGCAGACCCACCTTTGTTTGAGAGAATTGGAGAAAACCTGGGAGTTTTCTCCATCCTTAGGGGAAGGGAATTGTTTTGCTTCCATTTTAAAAGATGAGGAAACCGAAGCTAGCAGAGGGGACCAGCAGGTTACAGAGATCTGAGGGCAGCAGTCAGCTGGGCACAGGGTGGGAAGCTCAGTAATGTTTGTAGAAGGATGAATGAGGACGGAAGGAAGGAGGTAGAGTGATTGGCAGGTGAGGTTTTGGCACAGACTCAGGTGAAATGCTGCCTGTGCCTCAAACACTGCTGGCTGTTGGGAAAGGCCAGGCTGAGGGATCCGGCTTGGCCGTGAGGGAAGCTAGAAATATGTAGCACTGAAAAAAGTAGGAGGGGAGGGTTCCCTGGCTTCATTCATTCCACAAACGTGGATTGGGCCACTGCTATGGCTGCTGGCTGCAAGGTGTGTGTGTGTGTGTGTGTGTGTGTGTGTGTGCAAGAGCAGCCAACTCCGAAACGGGAGGCTCTGCTTCTAATGGGATGTTGTTGTTGTTGTTAACTGCCATCGAGTCGGTTCCGACCCATAGCGACCCTGTATAGGGTTTCCAAGGAGCAGCTGGTGAGCTTGAACCACCGACCTTGCAGTTCAAAGGACTTTGCAGTCTGGCGCATTAGCTCACTGAGCCACACCAGGACTCCTCTGGACTCCTCTGCATCACTAGATGACGAGTTTTATTGTTGGGTAAGCGTTAAAACCCAACTGGGATGCACCACCAGTCTGCAAAGACAAAAAGAAATCTTGTTCTCTGTGGAGCCGAGTAAATACAACCCATTACATGCATCTGAAGATAAAATTGCTAATTTTTCCGGTATTTTTAAACCAGGACACCTAAGGTTATGCTAATCCCCTTCCAGGGACCTGGAAGACCGGGGTGTGAGCTTCCTCCAGGATTATGTTTCAAGAGAGATGGTTCTCAAGTTCTATAGGAAACACCCTTGATTGACATACGTTTTAGGGAGACAAAGAAAGATTCAGCTTATTGCAAATTATCAAAAGTGAATTCTGAAAGAATCAAGGAGAATTCAAACTTCTCCTGTTGGTTGTGGATGTGTCCTTACAGTGCATGGGGCGAGGGGTCAAAGCGCGTTCCAGGCAGCGGGGACACGTGCAAAGTCAAGCTGTAGACAAGTTTGGGGAGACAGATGGGGGTCCATGTGGTTGGAGTGAGGACAGCTAGGGAGTGGGTCCGAGAGGGGAAGACGGACGGACGAGATGGGCTCTGGGGCCACCTCCTCCGGGAAGTCTCCGATTCTCGCGCTTTCTCTGAGTTGCTCGGCAGCTCAGCCTCTCCCACTGCGGCCCCATCCTCGAGTCCCGATCCGAGAGGCAGCGCCGGCTGGGAAGCCGCACCGGGCACCCGGTGGGCACTCGGTCAATATTTGTCGAGCGCACTAGAAGGCTTGAATGAATCCATTGGGCGCAGCAGGGGGAGGGCGGGGCCGAGGCAGGTGGGAGGCCGCCGGCGCGGGAGGGGCCCCTGGAAGCCCGCCCTCCTCCTCCTCCTCCTCCCAGGCCCCAGAGCGTATACGCTGGGGCTCCCGAAGGGGCCTCTAGAGCGATCAGGGGCGCGCAGGGCCGGGAGAGCGGCCCGGGGTTCCTGGTGTCGGTGCCGGAGGTCGGAAGCGGTGGGTCGCTGCTGTCCGAGGGAAGAGCGATCTCGAGAGGAAGGAGCGCCTAGCCGCCGCCTCCCCAGCGCTCGCTCTCCCGGTCCCGAGGTTTGCAAACTGCTCCTCCCACCCGCGCCAGCCTCTTCACTCGCTCACTCGCTTCAACCGGTCTCCAAGCCCCGCCGTGCGCCCGAGCGAGTGCAGGGCAAGGGGCCCGGGGCCAGCCCGAGCCGGGCCAGGGGTCCGGGCAGCGCGCAGCCGGCCGGGGAGGGGCCATGACCGGCGCGGGCGCAGCGGGGCCCGGCTGCAGCAAGTGACCGAGAAGCGTGGACGCCACTGTCTCCCCCCGCCACCTGGGGCGGCACGGGCCCCCGTGCCCGGAGCCCGGTGCCGGGGCCGCGCGGAGAGCCGGCGCGATGCACGTGCGCTCGCTGCGCGCCGCGGCGCTCCCCAGCTTCGTGGCGCTCTGGGTGCCCCTGTTCCTGCTGCGCGCCGCCCTGGCCGACTTCAGCCTGGACAACGAGGTGCATTCGAGCTTCATCCACCGGCGCCTCCGCAGCCAGGAGCGGCGGGAGATGCAGCGCGAGATCCTCTCCATCTTGGGCTTGCCCCACCGCCCGCGCCCCCACCTCCAGGGCAAACACAACTCGGCGCCCATGTTCATGTTGGACCTGTACAATGCCATGGCGGTGGAGGAGGGCGGTGGGCCCGATGGCCAGGGCTTCTCATACCCGTACAAGGCCGTCTTCAGCACTCAGGGCCCCCCTCTGGCCAGCCTGCAAGACAGCCACTTCCTCACCGACGCCGACATGGTCATGAGCTTCGTCAACCTCGGTGAGTGAGGGCTGGAGGGATGAAGGGGCGCGCGCCTGGGCGAAGGGGAGGGGTGCCTGGCGACAGGAAGGGGCCACTTCCTCCATCCATCCGCCCACCTTTCCACTCGGCCATTTGTGTAGCTCACAGTGCCTGGCTGAAGGTCTCCCACCTCAGGCCCTAGTGAACCCCAAGCTGTGCTCGCCCCAGGTAGGGCGAGGCGGGCTCAACTGGCCTCTGGGTGTTATCGCGGAGGGAGGCGTCCAGCCGAAGCCCCCTCTGGGTTAAGGCGTCAGCCTATTCTCTGGGGCCGCAGGCGCCGACCGGGTCTCAGCTCTGTTCAAAGCGCGGGACTTGGTCATGTGAGCTGTCCTTGGCCGGCGCGTATCGCACTACCTGAATTTAAAGGGCCCTTCTCGGAGGAGCTGCCTTCCCTCTGGTCCTAGGCCCCGCGCACCCTGCCTGGCCCTGGCCTCCGGGGCAGCGCACCCCAGTCCCCGCCCTTACAAGCCCTACCTGTCCCCTCAACGTGTGCCGCCTTCGCGTGCCGCGCGCCCCGGATGCCTCTGGGCCTCTGCTCCAGCCACCGGCGCCCCCTCTCTCGTTCTCCCTGCCAGGCAAGAAACACTGCCATTGCGAACTTTCTATTTTAAATATTTAATGATAGGTCCCGGGAGGGCAGAATCCATTTTCAGCGTTTATCATGTGTGGCGCGCAAACCACGGGTTTTGGCGATTGGGCGGCGTGGGATCTGCGAGCAGACGCGGCCGGGGGCGGCGGGGGGACCCGGCTCTAGAGGCAGCTCCTGAGACGCGAGCCTGGGGCTGTGGTGGAGCCCCGAGGCGCCCCTCCATCGCGTCCACGCACGCTCCCCAGACTTGCTCAAACTAACCCCCGGCTGCGCGCTGTCGGGCCAATGACCAAATATTTGGTTTCCGAGATAACACACGTCGTTAGCGCCCTTTCCTGAGCCGCTTTCATTCTACCTGTGTAACTCGAAGCAAAAATCCGAGCGGAGTCAAGACAGCAAACTTCCGCCCACGGGCGCTGTGTCAATACGGAAAAAATGACCCTCAGTCCCCACGCTGGCATCTGGGGAGCGACATGAAGGCTTCCCGCTGCGGATAAGGGCGGCGAAGTCCCGAGGAACACCACTTCAATGCTAACCAAACTCAGACCACGAAATGCGCTTCAGTGAGCAAGGAGTGAGGTTTAGAAGAAAGTTTGTTGCACACGGCAGCCTGCTGAGAAAAAGGCAGCTCCCTAAATCCTGGTTCAGAACAATCGCCAAGATGTATGGGGTGGAAAATAGCGAGGTGCAGGTTAACCAGTCTGCATATATCCTTGTATGTCATCCGTGTTCTGACAGAAGACTCCAGAACTGGAAATAGGTTTTACTGGGAAGGAGGGACAAGGGGAAGGGGCAGACAGAACTGGGGCTGGGATTTAAGCGATGGGGGTGGGGGGTCGGTTGGTAGTCAGATTTTTCAATGTCTGTACTTTTATCTAACTTCTAAAAATAGGAATAAACGGAAATGTCAGGTAGCTGTAAGGAAGTCCGGGTTAACCAGGGCCGTCTCTCTGGCGAGGGTTTATGGCATCTGCTGTTGGGTCGGGAGCCCAGGACTCCCAGTAAATGTAGCAGGACCCGGTCAGCCCCCTTTAGAGCTCAGCTGGAGTCATTACAAAGGTATTTGGAAGCCCTGGCTTCTGTGGCCGGCTCTGCAAACATGCAAAATTTACACCGAATGCATATCGACTTAACCAGATCTGGGGAGTGGGGGTGGGGGCTCCTACCCCTGGGGAGGAGCAGGTTGCTCACTGGATGCCTCTGGAGACTGGGGGCAGGGCTGGTTGGTCCCGTGGGTGGTGGGAGCAAGCCGGGGCTTGTCTGGGATGGCCACAGCCCAGCGATTTTCCTCTGGCTGCACACACACCTTTTCAACTTCTCTAGTCCCGGTTCTTTCATCTTGAAAGGACAAAGACCGGCTTGTCTGAGACTCCCCATCAGAGGAGCAGGCTTTGGGCTCTATGGGACAGCCTGATTTGACTTTGTCAGGTCCCAATCAGATGGCCAAGTGACTTTAACAGGGCACACTAAACTTGCTTTTGCCTTTCGCTGCTCTTTCCCTAAACTGAAGGTAATTAGTTAGGTGAAGGTCTGGACCAGAGTTTGTTACAGCCCTTCCTCTAGAGTATTGTAATTTCTGCTTAGCAACAGTCCATGAATAAAACGTCTGTCCCAACTGTTTTATCTTGGGGGTGACTGTGGGGTTGGAGAGGGTAGTGTTGCTGGTGGGATAGTGTATGTGTCTTGAAAGCTGAGTTTGCTGGAGAAAGAACATGATTTTTCCTGGGATTGTAAATTATAGTATGTTAAATTTTCTATGTTGTTGTACGCTGTCAAGTCAATTCCAACTCATAGTAACCCTGCATAGGTTTTCTGAGAGCAGCTGGTAGATTTGAACTGCCAATCTTATTTTCCTACAGCGTCACATCAGAGCTCAAAGTTTTCTCTAGATGAGTTTATTCACACTTGGCCCATCAGTGAGAAAATGCCACTTGCTCATTTTAAACCATTTCTTGTTCTCATTTGGGGAGACTTTGGGAACCTGGTTGGAGATCTTGTGGGGAGCTGGCCCCACCTCCTGCCCACCCCCCATTCTACGCCAGAGCGTACATATAACTGTTGTTGTGCATGCTGCTTGGGGACCTCTGCCTGTATGCTGAAGGTTTTTGCAGATCCGTGTGATTATTTCTCCTTCTGCTTGCAGCTGAACTGGTTTCTGTTCCTATAAGTTGTCCTCGGAATCCAAGCTTTTTGCCAGATTTAAAGAAGGGGGGGAATTTACAACCAAACCAGGCATTGGGAAGGAGGACATCAGAGGACACCATATGACAATGACCAGCCTATACCTAAAGTGCAGCCTGAGTGTGGGGTTCATCACTCCTAGGCTGAGTCCCTTAAGTTCATTGACAAGATTTGTAAACTTGGGTTTGGATTCAGAAGCCCCCGACTCCTCTGCACAGGCTAAATTTTGGAATTCAAAACTAGCTACTTCCTCTGAATGGTGAAGCTACCCACGTCCCTCACCATTCTTACTTCGGAAAAGTCCAGCCAATTCTCCTGACATCTTCTCTGGAAACTACTGGCAGGGGGATATGTGATCAGTGTCTCTCTCTCTGCTCCAGGTTCTGATGGAACCAAATCGGTTTCATCTTCAAAGCAAAATTTGAAAGAAAAAAAAAATTAGAGAGATTGAAAATTGAAAATCTTGTCCTTCTTGGAGGCGGCGGCTAAAAGTGGCTTTTGTTTCTGTAAGCTGGAGCGTGGGGAGAAGGCCGGGCCGTTTGAGTTGTATTTTATACCATCTGGCTATCCTTTTTGTTGACAAGTGTTTGGCATTAAGATGGCTTCTTTTGCTTCTTAAGAACAGGCCCGACCACTGTGGAGTATTAGGAAAAGATTCTGTTACAGCTTTTAAAATTTCCTTCAGGGAGTGCTTCGTGAAGGGAGGCTGAGCCCAGGCATTTGCAGCTGTAACCTGGCTTGTGTTAAAATTTGGAAGGGCCGCTCCACATTCCAGCACTCGATCCCTGGTAAGCAGCCAAAGGTTAATATAGATGTCACCCAGTCTCCCCCTTGCTTGCTTTCTTCCCTTCTGCCTCAGAGTGCCGGCTCTACAGGAGTGGACCGACAGCTGTGTTTTCAGTAACCCTTTCTCCATCACTTCTTTTAAACCTCATTTTCCTGCTTTCTATAAATCAAAGATTTTTCTTTCCCTTTCCCCAAGGCTGTGTGACCCAGATTTGAACTTTTTTTTTTTTTTTTTTTTTAAATCTTCTATGTATTTCCCTTCTGGAATAAAAGCAGGTTACAGTGGAGCCTCAGATGCCAGCTTGGGCGATGCTTTTTGGTTTCTATTCCAAGGTTGTCATTCCAGTTGTGGAGTGGACCCTGTTGAGGGGGGAGGGGCGGGCAGCAGGGGAAAGTGGCCTAGGAAAAGTCTAGGCAGGAAGAGATGCCTCTGCAGGCACAGTGGGGAGAGACTGGGTCTGACATGCAGGATGAGGAGCAGTAAGGCTATGTGTGCAGTAGGCTCTGGCAAGCCTTTGCAACGATGCACACAGCTGGTTCACCGTCCCCTTCGCTGCCAGAATGCTTTCGATGTGAGCAAATATCACATGTCCCTGAACTCCCAGACAAGTGGTGACTTCATCCCAGGGAGAGTCCCATCTAAGTTGATGGATCACCCCTATCACTTTCATAATCTTTTTTTTTTTCTTTTCCTCCTTTTGGGTAAGGTCATATTTGGCTCATTACAAGAATCAGAGTGTCCTAACCCTCCCCTTGCCCCCACCCTTCCTGAGCCTGCCCACCCATCTCACCAGCTGGAGATTCTGAATGAAGAACATTTGACCGTGTTCATTTTTTTCCGCGATCACTCTTCAGACCTAGGTGGGGGCTGTTGAAACACTCATTTTTGGGCAAGATTTGCGCACTGTGGTAGCATCACTGGGGCGAGGGCGGGGATGTGTGGAACCTGTCATGTTATATTGTCACAAGGAATGCTGGGATTAGCCTTTGAGAAGGGGTGGGGGGAGAGCCTGCAGCTGTGTACACTTATAGCAGAGGTTTAAGTCCCACTGGTAAAATCAATATATTGAGTTGCACGACCCTCTGCTTTTAATTAGTTTAAATCAAATGTGTCGGTGCTATTTTGCCTCCTCTGGCATTCGTGGGGTGAGGAAATACCAATATTTACACAGAAACTGTTAATTTGTGATGAAAATGATAACGCATTTAGGTTCACACACTCAAATTGCTCCAACTTGATGGATTCCAGACCAACGTGGCGGTGAGGGGTGATGTCATGGGGGAGAGGGGCCCGAGGGGTGACATTGGGGGAGATGTCTGCTGAGGGGGACTCTGGTGGTCAGGACACAGGTGGGTCTGTCTGCGGGAGCAGTACCTGTGTATGCTAGTATTTCAGGAACTCGCTGAATCTTTCTGTGACAAG